AAATTGATTTTTTTGTTGTTGTTAGTGAGGAAGGGAGAGGGAGAGAGAGAAACACCGATGTGACAGCGATACATGGGTCAGCTGCCTCCTGCACACCTCCTATTGGGGGATAAGCCACCACCTGGGCACGGGTCTGGACTGGAATCAAACCAGCTGCCCTTCAGTGCCCAGCCAACCGAGCCACCCAAGCCAGGGTTAGGTGGCCACATCTGACATAAAAAGATGCAGGGCGCCCAGTGAGTTTCAGACCAAGGGTAAGTTCTTGACCCATGTCTTGTGTCTGGCAGCCCTGACCGCAGCAGAGAGCAGCACAGCCCGGCAGCGGGAGCCGCAGCCTCATGGGGAGCTGGCGGGGGAGAGGGCCTGCCGGTGGACCACGGGGGCTGGAGGAGGCAGCGGGAGGCCCAGGAAGTGAGTCCTGGGACCACGGGGCTGGAGGAGGCAGCGGGAGGCCCAGGAAGTGAGTCCTGGGACCATGGGGCCTGGAGGAGGCAGCGGGAGGCCCAGGAAGTGAGTCCTGGGACCACAGGGGCTGGAGGAGGCAGTGGGAGGCCCAGGAAGTGAGTCCGGGCCAGCCACCCGAGTAAGGAAAAGGCTTCCCCTCTTTATTTTATTGATGTTTTACAGAGAGAAAGGGAGAGCAATAGAGAGCTAGAAACGTCCATGAGAGAGAAACATTGACCAGCTGCCTCTTGCACATCCCCTACTGGGGCTGTGCCCGCAACAAGGTACATGCCCTTGACTGGAATCAAACCCGGGACCTTTCAGTCTGCAGACCGACGCTCTACCGCTGAGCCACGCCGGTTTCGGCGGCTTCCCCTCTTTTTTTTTTTTTTTTTTTTTTTAAATATATTTTATTGATTTTTTACAGAGAGGAAGGGAGAGAGATACAGAATTAGAAACATTGATGAGAGAGAGTCATCGATCAGCTGCCTTTTGCACACCTCCTACTGGGGATATGCCCGCAACCAAGGTACATGCCTTTGACCGGAATCGAACCCGGGACCCTTCAGTCCCCAAGCCGACGCTCTATCCATTGAGCCAAACCGGTCCCGGCCGGCTTCCCCTCTTTAAGCTGGGACCCAGGGGTGAGGAGCAGAGAGGGTTCCGGGGCAGGGGGACAGCAGGTGGGGGTGGAGAGGGGGGACCTGGGCAGGCAGGCAGCGGCCAAGCACCCTAACACCCTTGTAGGGCATTATCTGGCCCGGCTAGATGTGCCAGTGAAGAGCGGGGAGGATTGTGCCCTCACAGATGCCAAGGAAAGAACAGAGTTTTGAGAAAAAGGGAGTGAGGGACGCCGGCAGCTGGAGGAGGTCCAGGAGAAGGGCCTCGCTGTGCACAGGGATGAGCCGAGCTGCCGGGGGCACCAGGGAGAGGCCTGTGCAGCGGGGACAGAGCGGGGCTGCAGCGGGGGAGGGTTAGTGGCAGGAGAGGCCAGAGGCAGAGACAGGGGAGACCCCCGTTTCCAGGTGCTTCTGGGTAAGAGGGTGGCCCAGCGCAGGCTGGAGCTGGAGAGGAGCTCGGGAGAAGCTGGAAGAGGGAGGGGCTGCGGGGAGGGACCCTCACCGAGGGCTGAGGCCCCGGGAAGCCTGGCCTTGGAGGAGGCTCAGCTCCCGCTTCCCCCCGAGGCAGGAAGAGGCAGGTGGGGAACAGTCAGACTCTTTTTGGGAAATGGAGACCCCTCGGGCCAGCTGATGACACAGCCCGTTCTCCGGCTCAGAGGACAGCACAGAGCACACAGCGGCCCTGAGCCTCTGCTGAGCAGATGAGCAGAGGAATAGCTGGAGTGACCGAGGGGGCTCCAAGGACAGTACTGGGGGGGGGGGGGGGGGGAGTGGTTATCTTGGGGTGAAGGAGAGGCAGAGGAGGAGGAGGAGCCCAGAAAGAAGGTGGGAGGAGTACAGGCCTGAGAGGAGGGTCCGAGAGGAGGAGAGCTGAGAAGGCCCCGGGCCCCTGCGTGGGAGCTGGAGGGAGGGGCTAACGCGGCCTGTGGGCAGCCTGGTCCGTAGGGGCAGGTGCTGGGCAGGAAATGGAGGGAGGGAAGGGGGGCGGGGGCACAGCGGGTGGGAGGGGATTCCTTTCCTGCCGAGGCCATGCAGGTGCTGTCCACCATCCCATCTCATTTAACCCCAGAGCCCCCACGGAAGAGGACGATGACATGATTGCTACGGGGTGGTCTCACAGTTGTGGGGGCGCTACATGATGTCACCTCCCCAAGGGACTCCTGGGCTCTCCCCTCCCAGGCCTTGTCTGGGAGCCGGCAAATCCCAGCAGCCAAGAGTGGGGAGTGACAGGAAAGATGGGGTGCAAGGTGTCTGGGTGGCAGGCGCCTGTCCCCTGAAGCAGCTGGCAGGAAGCTCCCCAGGGGCCGAGGGGGGAGAAGCCCAGCAGGAGGGGCGCTGGGCTGGGGGGCGGATGAACCTCACTCCTATCGTGCCCCCTGCTTCCTGCTCACTGTCCCTCCCCAATCTCCTGGCCTCCTCCTTCCGAGGCAAGTTGAGATGCCCCCACCTGGGCCACGCCTCTCTGACCCTTAGCTCCCTCTCTTGGTCCCAGAATGCTAGCAACCCGGTTTTCTGAGTCCTTCTAGTCTACCTACAGCCCCTCCAAGTCCCTCCCAGCTTCCTCCAGCTCTGAATCCCACCCACGGGCCTACTGTGTTGAAAGGTGTGTCTCCTCCTGCCCTCTCCCCTGGGCTCCAGACTCCGAGTGCTCCGCGTGTCCATGCGAATATCTAAAAAGCTTCTCAGAACAGACATGGCTGGAACGGAGTTCCGATCTCCCCCACGCCCACCTGTCCCACCTCGCGAAGCCGCCCACGTTTCTGGTGAAGCCACTCCATTTCCCCAGCGGCACAAGCTAAACATCTGAAGGCAACTTAACTCTTCTTTCCTTCACACCCCACACCCTCTCCTCCAGCAAGTCCCCTCGGCTCTGCCTTCAGCACGCACCCGGGCCCCAGCCCCCTCTCCCGCCTCCTCTGCTACCCAGCGGTGCCAGCACCGCCTCGGCCCTGCCCCTCTGACCTGGCCCTACATGCTCCTCCTCCCAGCACCAGGGAGGACCTGCCCTCAGCCCTGCTGCCCCTCCAGCTGGCTCTGGTCTCAACGTCTTTCAAGACCTGACAACCCTCCCTGACCTTCTCCTTACCTGGTTGGTCTCCCCTCCTACTGTCCTGCTGGCCCTCTCCCCAACCACACCGGACTTCCTGCGGCTCCTCAGACATCCCAGCCGTGTCCCAGCGGGGAGGTTTGCCCTGGCCGCACCCCTGACTGAGCGCCCTTTCCCCATGCAGCCTCCGGACCTGCCCCCTCCTCTCTTTCAGAGCTTGACTCCAATGTCACCTCGTGCTTGCCTTCCCTGAGCATCCTGGTTAGAACTGTAAACCCTGACCGTCCCTATCCTTTTTGCCTGCCTTTCCCCGCCCCCTCCACAGAACCTGTCATTTAATGTAGCATGTAGCATGTAGTATGTAGTATGTATTTTACCCAGCCATTTAATTATCTGCCTCCTGCTTCTAGTTCTATGAGAGCAGCGTCTTTTCTGCGTGGTATTGCTTTCTTCGCTGTCGGTGACAGTGTCTAGCAGACGGTGGGCACCCAGCAAATGTTGTTTGAGTGCCTGTTCCGAGCACTGGAGATGGGATAATGAGCAAAACCTGATAGTCTGCGGAGCGGAAGTCCTGGGCAGTGTCTCCCCATGTTCGGGTGTTCAGCCCTCCCTGCAGGGCTCTCAGAGGCAGACTCTGTCTCCGCCCCTGGGTTTCTGTGGGCCCAGGGGTGTGCGGAGTGCACAAGCTCCCTGGTAGTTCTAAGGAAGGTCACGTGGGGGTCACATCTTGGGCTTCTGGAAAAGACTGAAATACTGCCCAGGATGCCTGGGGTCTCATCTTCCCCAGCACCATCCTCTCTTCATTAACAGTTGTCACGTGCCTGGCTCCTCTCCAGAGTCCTGTTTGAGACGGCAGCCAGCATCTTGTTCCTCTCTGTGGCCCCTGTCTCAGCACAGCGTAGGGGCTGTAAATGTTGAGAGAGCAAATGAACGAAGGGTGGATGAATGGTGACAAGATGGATGAATGAATAATGGGACTCTAGTTAAAAGGGAATTTCAAGAGTTCAGGATCTAGCCCCACCGGCCTGGCTCAGTGGCTGAGCATCAACCTATGAACCAGGAGGTCATGGTTCAATTCCTGATCAGGGCCCATGCCCTGTTGCTGGCTGGATCCCCAATGTGGGGTGCACAGGAGGCAGCCTATCAATAATTCTCTCTCACCGTTGATGTGTCTCTCTCTCTTTCTTTCTGAAATCAATAAAAATATATTTAAAAAATAAAGAGTTCAGTGGGAACGTTTGTGCCCTGGCCAGGTGTGTGTGGCTCAGCTGGGCGGAGCGTCATTCTGGACACCAAACGGTTGCAGGTTCGATCCTCGGTCTGGTGCCTCCGCATCCAGGTATCTCTCACACTAAGGTTTCTCTCTAAAATAAGGAAAAAAAAAAAAAAGAAGAAGAAAGAAAAGACTTCCCTGTGCCCAGAGTTGCAGGATGGGCTGGTACTTCAGCAGTCCTGACAGTTTGGTTGTCTGTGAAGGTGGCTGCTCCGGCCTGGCGGGGCCACAGAGAAGCTGAGCGCCAGGGCTGCCCCGAGGCGCGCTTCTCGGCGCGGCGCCCCGGTTGCCATGGCTACAGAAGCAGCCTGGCGAGCAGGGGGCGGGCCCGGCGCTACGTCATTCTCAGCGCGACGCTCTCTGCGACTCCCGCCTCTTTCGGCTGCGGGACCCTCAGCCCGCCTCCCGCGCTCTCCACCTGCTCGCGCCCCCACCCGCCTCGGCTGTGCGCACGCGCGGTGCCCACCAGCGCGCGCGGGGGAGCCCGCCAGGCGCATGCGCGGTGCGGGGACCGCGGTCGCTCCGCTGTCGCCGCCGCCGCCGTCGCCGCCGTTGCCGCCTTCCTGCCGGCAAGTGTGGGAAAGAGGAGCCGAGGGCCGCCGCCGCCGTTGCCGCCATGGGGGTGAGTGAGGCAGAGGGAGGAGACCCGAGGGTCCGGAGCGCTCCATGCTCCACTTGCTCCCTGTGCCCCCATTGTTCCTGAGCCCCCCTCACGTGACCCCGACCCCCTCCGGCCTCACGTGACCCCCAGCCCCCAAATCACCCGACTCCCCCATTCTAAGTGTCCCCATGCCCGGCCCAGCGCGGGAATCCCTTGGGAGCCCCCTTCTCCGGACCCCATCCCCTCGGGTGTCCCCGCCCTCCGCGTCCCGCGCGCCCGCCTTCCTCGCTGACCTGTTACCTCCGTGGCCTCCCCCGGCCCCTGCGCGGATCTTGGGGTGCCCCCCCGCCCCAGGGGTCACTGTCACCTGGTTGTCACCGGCTTTGGGGCTTCCCCCGTCTTAGGTGCGCCCTGGCCTGGCGGCAGCTGAGGCCCGGGGAAGAGAAGGCATCCAGCCAAGGGCACAGCGGCGGTGCCCGGGGCCAGGCCGACCCGGGTCTCCGAGCCCCCGCCGCCCGCCGCCCGCCGCCCGCCTCCCGCCGCCCGCCGCCCGGCCTCATAGCGGCTCCCGTTCCCTTTCGGAGCCGCGGCACCAGGCTCCTCCTGCCCCGGGAGCGGTCCCTCCGTCCCGGCGGGAGCAGGGAGGAGGTGCCCTTCGCACCCCCCTGTCGGTAGCGGCCTCGGCGCTGCAGGTGGCTTTGCAGCGGGGGCGCGGGGTGGACGCGGGCCTCGGCGCGGCCGTGGGGGGCGGGGTGGCCACCTGTTCCTGCGGCGCCGCCGGTGCTGGTGGAAGCTAGGCACTTGCTCCTGTGGCTTCACCTTCCTAACCCCCTGCAGGGCGGCATCAGGCCCTCTCCGAACCGTGGAAGCGGCCCTGCCTGTCACAGTGTTAGTGTTCACATGGGGTCCCCCCACGTTCGGGAGCCCTGACTCTGGAGCCAGAGCTATCTCGGCTCCAGCCCCATCCGCTGGCCAGCAGCACCACCCTGTGCCAGGGACAGGCCCTGTGAATGTGAATTCCCCTGCATGTGAGGAGGGGGCGGCCCTCCCCATCAGGAGAGGTGGGCGGGGGAGTGAGGTGGTGGGTGCAGGGAGCCCCGTGGCCTCCGGATTAGTGGCTGTTGCTCTGCCTGTCTTTGCAGCCTTTACTTAGTGAATTAACAGATGTGAGCTAGGCTTTCCTTTAACCCATGGGTGTGTCCCTGCTGTTACTAACCTGGATGCTTTTCTCATTCAAATAGTGATTGACTGGACAGATCAACTTGGTAGCAAAAATAGTTGTCTAACCCATGCCCAAGCACTTTGTCATCCAGGTCAAAGCACTTTCATCATCTTTCAACCAGGAATTTGGGGGGCTGTGTTCCGTAGGTAGAAAATCAAGTCTGGAGACTTGGGCATATTTAACCTGGGCGTGGGTGAGAGGCCCCGGCCGTGTCTCTGAACTAGAGGAAGCCTGTGTGCCCGGCATCAGCCGCGTAGACGGAGCAGGAAAAAGAAGCGTATCGTACCTCTCCGGGCCACTTCCTGTTGGCTGAGCTCCTCCCAGGCTCAGAGGTACTGTGGTCCGAGCTTCCTTCAGGCCCCGGCCTATCGCTCGGACGTTACAGATGAGCGTCTCGGAATGCCCTGACCTGTCTCTTCTGTTCTAAACTTACTGCAAGAGGGAGACATCACTTCCTTCCCTGAAACCGAACTGGAACCCTCTCGTCGTCCTCATCCTCACGGACGCCCCACTTCAGTGTCAGGATGGCCCCCATGTGGCCACTTTCCAGCAGAGGGCCACGCTCCCCACAGCTGACCTCAGCTAAGGGGCCTCCGATGGAGCACCGTCCTTCAGTGTTCTTTTGGCCCTGGCTGCCACACGGGCATTGCTTTGGGAATTAGATTTAGATGTCTCCCTTTGCCCCACACAGAGGTTCTTTTCGGATTTTGGATATTTTGTGGAATGGGGAGAAGACGGGGGTATTAACACTGAAAATCCAGGAGATGACAAATTTTTTATCTGAAAGGTGCCTCTTGCCTCCATCTGGGTGTCTTTTGTCTCTTTAAATTTCTCCAGCCCTAGGTGGTTTGGCTCAGTGGATAGAGCATCAGCCTGCCAACCGAAGGATCCCAGGTACAGTTCAGGTCAAGGGCACATACCTTGGTCGCAGGCTTCTTCCCAGCCTGGGCCCTGGTCAGGGCATGCGCAGGAGGCAACCAATCAATGTGTTTCTCTCACATTGATATTTCTCTGTCTTTCCTTCTCTCTTACACTCTCTCTAAAAAATCCATGGAAAAATATCCTCCGGTGAGGATTAAAAAAAAATTTCTCCATGTCAGAGAAGTGAGTGTGGGGATATTAATTTGGTAGGAACAGCACGGGGAGGAGTCTCACAGCTGCATGGGAAAACATGTCACGCTTCCTAATGTGTCATAAGTGTAGTTGATGGGATAGTGGAAGGAGCATGGACTCTAGGTTTCAGACCTGGATTTCAATCTTGAATGATTATCAGGTGTGAGTACCTCCTGTTTGCTGAGTGCTGGGCTGTAAACTGGCAAATAAAGCAAATGTGGCCTCTCCTCGGGGAATGAACGGTTTGGTGGGAATGAGAGAGATGTAATAGGAAGACCTCTGAGAACTCCGGGGCCTGGAAAGTTATCTGCCCTCTCTGTGCCTCAGTTTTCTCATCAGAGAAGTGGGCACACATACCTTGTTGAGTTCTTGTGAAGATTAAAGTAAATCCTCTATTAAAGCGCTAGCAGAGTGTCTGCTGCTAGTGGATCCTTGACAGTCCCATTTGATGGATGAGGAAAGGAGGTTCAGAGAAACCTTGCTGGAAAAGATTAAACAACTTGTCCAAAGTCACAGCTACTCAGTAGAAGAGCTGAAAACCAAATCCAGCCTCTGACTCAGAGTCCCGAACTCTATTTAGAAAGCTCCCCTGGGACAGACACTTCCCACAATGAGCTTCCTGCTCACTGTGCTTGTGCCCACTTTAATTAGGAGAACGTTTCCATGTCCCTGCAGGATGGTCTACCTCCACGACACAGGGCGAAGCTAACTGGAACAGCAGGAGGCTTTTCCGAGGGTGTGCGAGGTTTTCGGGGGACCCCTGCCTGTCTGCCTCCTGCCCCAGGGCAGGCGGCAAAGCGCTTCCAGGGCGCTTCCATTATCTGCAGTCCGGGGTCATGGCAGCCCCAAGCCTCACTCCGAGGATTGCCTGGCCCCTCATCCCCCGTCCCCCTGCATGAATGAGCCTGTAAACCTGAGGCTGGCGCTGGCTCTCCTGCTGCTGGTGCTTTGGAATTGCTTACTTCCTGTGCTTAGAAACGAGGGAGCCACGTGTCAGTGCTTTGGGAGTCCCTGGAGCCAGGCTTTCCTTCCAGCACCTTTGATCCAGCAGCTCCGTGTCATGCTGAGAGCTAGCGTGCTGGGTGGAGGAAGGGACTGCTGAGTGACGGTGTGCTGGCTGGCCTGTCCTCACCGTTTGGTGAGGCCGGTGTTGAGTTCCCGTTTCTCTGGAGATGGAGTTGCTTTCTCAAGTCATGCAGGGGCGGCAAGGGCACCGGCCTGGCCTGAGGGTGCCAAAGCTCAGTGTTCTGTCTGCCCCATCACACAGCCCTGGAGCCCTGTCTCGGGTCTCCCTGTTCCTTGCCCCTTCCTCAGGGAGATAGGACTTGGGGTGGCACTGTGTTGGCATACCAGCCATCACCAAGCCAGAGGGTAATGGGAAATGAATTGCTGAGTAGCTGCCTGGAGGGCTTTTGAGATCTCATCTTGACCTTAACCTTGGCTGCCGGCTTGAGAAGGTCTTTGACAGTGACGTGGGCTCTCCCAGTGGGAGGTAGCATGGCTGGTGGAACAAACACTGGGTCTAAGGCCCAGCCCTTGGGATTGAGTTTCCCCCCTGCCATTTCCTCTCTGGGGAACTTGGGACGAGTCCTACATCCCTTTGAGCCTCAGTTTCCTCATGTGTGAGGGCTCTTGGTTTCTGCCCTGGGAGCTGAGCCAGGTGCTGTCTGGGAAAGCACTTTGCCAGTGAGCATATCTCGGTGCTGTCTGGAAACCCAAATCCTAAAAGAACGATGGAAGCGCCCAAACCTGTCTGTGGTGGAGGGCTGGATCTGTGTCCAGTCCCAGCCCCTCTTAGGGAGGCAGTGTGTTCTCTTGTGTTCCCTCCTCTGGAGAGGCAAGAGCTGTGTCTGGCCTGGCCTCCAGCACGTGCTCAGCTGCAGACACCAATGGCTGGTGCTGGCTGAGTTCACAGCTGGGCAAGCAATCCCCGGGGCGGCCTGGTCTCGGAACTCTTGCCTCCTGGTTGCTTGAAGGAGGAGTCAGCAGTGTCACTCCTGGGGGAACCGAGTAGGACCGCTCTCTGGTGGGCTCAGAGCCATCTTACCAGTGCCTTTGGGGTGCCCCTGCACCAGCTGGGTGGCTGGGCACTTCCAGATGTGTGTGCTGCTCTGGTTCTCGGGTGTGAGTGGAACTGTCATTTATCGAGCATGTGCTATGTTAACCCTCACGGGCTCAATGCCTCCAGATCGATATCCACGGCCCCTCTCAGCCGGGAGAGGAGGCAGTGGTTTGCCTGAAGATGCAGGGACTGAAGAGCAGAAAGAGGCTTTGGATAAGATCTGTCAGACTCCAGAGCTGGCTCTTTCCCCGTGTTCCCCTTGGAGGGTCCATTTAGGCCTGAGAGCCGCACACGAGCCTCAGAAAGGATCTGCCCTCGCTGCAGCTGTGTGTGGCTTCCCACTGTGCTCCTCCCTCTGCCTGTGGCTGCGTTTGGCTTGTTGGCCACGTGTCAGCAAGGCCTCTGTCCCCAGGTGAACCCCATGGGCCCTCGCTCTGCCCAGTGTGCCTGCCACTCACTGGCCGTGGCTGAGCAGCACTGTCTCCTTAAGCCAGAGCGCCTTGGCCCTAGCGAGATGGGCCCAGCTCCCAAGCTCTGCCTCCCAAGGCCGGGAGACACTGGAAAGGCTCCCAATAAACTGTTCGCAGCTTCCTCAGCTGCATCTCCTCCCTGCATCTGTCTGAAACCCACTGCCCTCCGCAGGGGGCAGGGCCGAGGGAGTATTCTTAGGCATCTGCTGGGGGCAGGCTCCGCTGCAGGGTTGTCTGTGCTCTCGCTGGGCCTCACCGGGACCCAGCAGTCCCCAGGGCCAGTCCTCTCCCCGACGGGAGCTGAGACGGAGCTGAGACTCTCCCGAAGTCTCAGGCCTGCAGCACGGTGGGCCTTTCCCACCCAGCAGGTGGGGCGGCCTGGCTCGGAGTTCTTGCTGCTGAGGCCAGGTCTGTGGATGCAGGGACCGACCCTTTGATTCCTCAAAGGCTTGGCCGCAGACCTTCAAGCCAGCATTGCTTTTCTGTGTTACAGAGGAAGTCGAGCAAAGCAAAGGAGAAGAAGCAGAAGCGGTTGGAGGAGCGAGCAGCCATGGATGCCGTCTGTGCCAAAGTGGATGCAGCCAACAGGGTGACCACTCCTTCCCAGTCCCTCCAACTGCAACTTGGCTTTTACTTTTACTTCCTTTGGCGCCACCCGGTGGCAGAATTGTGTTACTACCCACCACAGCTCCGCTGCCTCCTTGCTGAGGAAAATGAGCCAAATGAGCCTGGGAGGTTTTCCAGGTGGGCGGCAACCGGCCCCTGTGCAGGGAAATGTGGGTTCAGGTGGAAGCGGCTGCGCCCCTCTGGGCCAGAGGGCCTGGACAAGAGGGCCTGGAGAAATTTTCATTAGGATTTTGCATTTTGGGAAGCACACCTCCCTCATAAAATGTGGCATAATTTCCTCACTCGTTCTTCAAACACTTACTGACCGCCTGTGAAGTGCCATAGGGTGTTCTGGGACCAGGAAGACGCAGCCACCTGATCTCAGGAGGCTGCAGTCGGAGGAATAGCCGGGAACCTGAGCGCCAGATGGGATTTGAAACTGAACCAGAGAGATGCTGGCCACCTTCCCACCCCTTCATGGCTCACCTTTGGTTGTCCTTACAGCCCCTCAGTGACAGTCCACATGGATAGGCTGTGGCTCAGAGTGGGCTTTTCAGGTTTGGGTTTTGATAGGTGAGCAGTGAGCAGGTAGTGTGCCCACAGGCCAGTATCAGTTTTAGCCTGGGCGAGTCTCTTCCTGTCCTGGCAAAGGAACTAACTGACCTGTTTTTGGTCTCCTCACCATGCCTCCCTCTCACATGGGGTTCATCGCTGAGGCAGGGGTCCCTCTGAGGGTGGACTGGCCCAGCGCTGAGCCTCCCGGTGTGGCCTGACCAGCATCGGACTTCAGGGCAGAGCGCGCTCCGCCACGCGGGTGTCTGTGTTACTTCTCTTCCTTTCCTCCACAGCTTGGCGACCCTTTAGAGGCTTTCCCCGTGTTCAAGAAATATGATCGAAACGGGTGAGTTCGGCATCCCTAGCTTTTGTCTGAGTGTCTTCAGGAACTCACCTTTCCGGAGTAGTTTCCCCAGACTCAGATTTTCCCACTCTTCTTGTTAGGAAAAAGCAGGAAAGGTGGCTAGTGCCCTGTTGATACAAAATCCCTGCCCTGTTAGGGGGACAAAGGAATCCATAAATGAGCAGATTGCATAGTCTCAGATTGATGCCTCTAGGATTTGTTATTCTTTTCGGACAAAGAATCATAGAGCTGAAACTCTTTAAAAAAAAGTCATCCAGAAAAGAAAAAAAAATCATCCAGGCTGACTCATTTCATACACGGGGAAACTGAGGCTCAGAGAAGCTGAATGGAATTTCTGAGTGTGGCAGCTGAGGAGGCTTTCAATTCCCAATCCAGTGCTCTTTCCCAAGTGTATAGTATTCTTGTTAAAATCCACTTACTGGCTTTGTGATCCTAGACAAATTACTTAACCTCTCTGTGCCTGAATTTTCTAATCAGAAATGGGTCTAATATAAGGTGACCAGTCGTTCCACTTTTGGCGGGGCAGTCCTGATTTTTAACAATTTGCCCCACGGCGTTTTTAAAAAGTTCCGATTTTTGGAAAGATTCTTTTAAATCTTTTGGACTTTTTTTTAAAACGCCTCGAAACGCGGGACAAATTGTTAAAAATCGGGGCTGTCCACCTAAAAGCGGGAGGTCTGGTCAGCTTAGTCTAATAGCATCTTTCTAATGGAGTCATCAGGAGACTTAGATATAAAGCATTTGTACCTGGAGCATACTAAAAGCTAGATCAGTGTCAGCAATTATTACTACTGTTATTACTGATAAACTTACTGTAAGGTCTGTCTTAAAGCCCCCCTCTCCTTTCAGTCCTCTTGGTATAAAATAGGAAGCATAATCTTACCAGAGATTCGTTGGCTGGCTGGGGGAGAGGGGAGTTATGGTTTTAGAGAATCACAGCTGTGGGTTTGAATCATAACTGTGTCTCTTATTAACTGTACTTAGAAAAGTCAGTCATCCTCTGTAAGCCTCATTTTTAATCTATTAAATGGAGTGAAGATGCCAGACTCGCAGAGTTGTTTTAAGGAGGAAAGAGAATGTATTCAGCTCTGTAAGTAGCAAGTGGTATGAGTTAAATTATATATATATAATTTAATTGATTTCAGAGAGGAAGGGATAGGGGGAGAGAGATAAACATTAATGATGAGAATCATCGATTGGCTGCCTCCCACATGTCTCCCCACGACCCAGGCACGCACCCCTAACTGGAATAGAACCTAGGTCCCTTCACTCTGCAGGCCGACGCTCTATCCACGGACCCAAATCAGCCAGGGCAGTGGTATGAGTATTCTAATTGACAAGAAAGACAAACCTAAATACATGAGTTATGACGCAAAGACTACTGTATTTGCCTTTCATAGCTGTGTCGAATCTCACAATGTCACATTATTTTATTCTTTTTGTGTGTCAGACACAGACAGCTCCTCTGGTGGTTGTCATTCCCTTTCTGGGAGGCCTTTGCCATAGTTAGAGATCCCTCACTGTGAGAGCTCTTAGTGACTTCGACACGGTCACTGTTTACAAAGCAAGGAAGACTCTTCCAAGCCAGAAGCTCGCACGCACAGCTCCCGTGCTGCAGCAGTCAGCAGCGGTGAGGGTGGGAAGGCCCTGAGGGGTCATGTCGAAGGTCACTGAACGATAAGGACTTGGAGGTGCTGGCTCCAGTCCCTTCAGAAGGTGGCACTGCCTGGAGAATGTGGTTGGCAGTTTGGCCGAGGAATTGAACTGTGACTTATTTATTTATGTGTCATTTAGAAATAAACAGCAGACTGCGACACCTTAATGCCTGCAGCATCGGTTAGTTTGGGAAAACAGTGTGGGGTTGGCGCCATTCCCCTCTGGCCAGCTGAGAGCACTTGTGTTGTCGGAGAGGCAGCAGGTGGCACTCCTCAGGGTGCTGTGGGCCATGGTCTTCCTGGGGGGCCTGAGGTCACCCTGACGCTTTCAGAGGAGACGGCAGGTCAAAGGGAAGCGGTCTCATGGGGGCCAGAGAGAAGCCCATTGAGAATTAAAGCGGCAGGGAAAGTGCCTGAGAGCAGGAACCGAGGGCAGAGAACACGGAGTGTTTGTGACAGTGCAGGAGGGGTGGGGAGAGCGAGGAGGCAGCAGAGAGGGACGCGTGTGTAAAGAGCCGGGTCTGGTGAGGGCCGTGCAGGGGCCGGAGGAGGGACTTGTGGTCAGGGAGCGGGCCTGTGATGACAGTTGTTCGTCGGCCCACAGGCTTCGTTCCTTCCCAGGCACCTTCTGCAGTCTGTTGGGAGGCTGGGCTTGGCCTTCTGTGGAGATTCTGAGGTCAGGCTGTCGGGGCTGCAGCGGCTTCACGTGCTTCTTTTTCTTCTCAGCTTAAACGTCTCCATTGAGTGTAAGCGAGTGTCTGGACTGGAGGCGGCCACGGTGGACTGGGCCTTCGACCTGACCAAAACTAACATGCAGACCATGTAAGACCCTGGCGGCCGCGGGCTCGCCCAGCTGGCTCTCCCCTCCCCGAGCTCCTGGTCCTGACCGCCCCACCCTCCCAGGTATGAGCAGAGTGAGTGGGGCTGGAAGGACCGAGAAAAGCGGGAGGAAATGACCGATGACCGAGCCTGGTACCTCATTGCTTGGGAAAACAGTTCCGTCCCCGTTGCCTTTTCCCACTTCCGGTTCGACGTGGAGTGTGGGGATGAAGTGCTGTACTGGTAGGAGCCCCGGCTTGGGGGCCTGGGGTGTGGTGCGGGGAGGAGACCCTGCTCCAGGCACTCCCGTGGTCACAGTCCACTGTGCCGTCCGTCTCTGGCGGCCTGAGCCCCTAAGCTCGCCTGTGCTTCTCCCCCCAGCTACGAAGTGCAGTTGGAAAGCAAGGTGCGGAGGAAAGGCCTGGGGAAGTTCCTCATCCAGATTCTGCAGCTCATGGCCAACAGGTGAGGGCCCCGCGGGCCGCACAGGTGGAAGGAGCTGCCTTGGAGGTGGCGCTGCTCGTGCGTCTCCGTGGAGAACAGGCTCGGGGATGTTTTGGAAGAAGGACATCTAGAACCCTCAGCAAGATATTCCCTGCCTGCTGTAATCCCAGAGTTTGTGACATGCCTCGTGTACAATGGGGTGCAGAGGGGAAGTGGAGAAGTGGGCAGGCAGTGGGGCCTAATGCCGCTGCAGGCTCATCAGCCCCTCAGAGGGAGCTGGTCATCAGTCCGACAGAGGCTGGACTCGGGGCGCAGAAGTGCTTCTGAGGGGCAGGCAGAGGCACAAGAGAGGAAGCACGACTTAGTACCTGTCTCTGCAAGGCATGCTCTCTGCTTTCTCCCAGCACACAGATGAAGAAGGTGATGTTAACAGTATTTAAGCACAATCATGGCGCCTACCAGTTCTTCAGAGAAGCACTGCAGTAAGGAGCTGGGCCCTGGTGGGGACTTGCGGCCCCAACGCCTTTTCCCTGGTCCTGGCCCCCTTCATCCTGACGCCCAGCTTCCTGTCCCGTGGTCCTGGGGGCTGGGGGATGGGGGATGGCCTGGGAGTGCCCTCTGGCTCGGCTCCTTCCCTCCTCCTCACATCTAGGGGGCTCAGAGTGTGGCGGTGGAAAGTTCTCGGGCCAGCGAGGAAGGCAGGCAGCTCCTGCAGCCACCTCTCCTCCCGCCTTGCAGGTTTGAAGTCGATGACTCTTCCCCCAGCATGTCTGGCTGCTGCGGGGAGGACTGCTCCTACGAGATCCTGAGCCGGAGGACCAAGTTTGGGGACAGTCAGCATTCCCATGCTGGTGGGCACTGTGGTGGCTGCTGCCACTGAACTCTCAACCAGAACGCCCTCTCCAAGGTCTGCCCTCTCCTGGTCTCATGCCGCCTGCCAGGTGCCCTCAGAGCTGTGGCCTCCGCAGCCCTGCACGTGCCAGGCTGTGCCCTGAGAGCACAGTGCCCCTCCTCCTCTCCTAGAAGAGCAGAGTGCCAGGAGGGAGCCAGAGGAGAGGACGCTGAGGGAAGAAGGAGCTGGTGAAGGCTGGGCGTGAAGTCATCCTGGCATGGAGGCTGCCTTCTCACTCCGCTCTTGCGCAGTTGAGCGTGAGATTCCCCGACTCCTCTGTAGCTGGACTTCTGACACTGCCCCCCCACCCTCACCCTCCTGTCTGTCTGTCTCTCTCTCTCTCTCTCTCTCACACACACACACACACACACACACACACACACACACACAGGTGCGCGCGCGCGCTCGCGCATGGACAAATGGAGTGTTTGTGCCCACGTAACAAAAGTCCTGGCACCCTGGTCAGGGTCTGGCTGGTCCTCAAATGGACTTGGTGGGAGGTCTGGGCACAGCAAGGCTTCAGGCACCGGCTTCGCAGGCGGGATGCTCTGATGGCATCTGGGGAAGGTCCGTGCTCTGTGGACCCAGTTAGAGGGGTGTCCCCGGGACCAGCAGCTCTGGGAAGGAGGCTGCTCCCTCTCCATCCCTGTCTGAGGGCTGAGGAGGCCAGGAGCACGGAGGAGGGGCCCCATTGCTCCTTCAGGCTTTTGTTCTGCGCTGCGTCTAAGCTTAACCTCATCTATGGCATGACTCAAGTTTAAATCCTAGCAAAAAGCCGGAGGCCTGCCTGTCTGCTCCATCGTCCTCACACTCTCCCCTGCCTCTCACCCGCCCGATTCCTCTTACTAAGGGGGGATAACATCAGGGAGCCCTCGTCTCCCCCCAGAGGACCTCTTCCTGGCATCGCCAATGCCTTCCTCTCAGATCGTGGTGCTGATAGCTCTGCCCGGGCGTCCCCCTCCAGAGAGCCCCAGCCAGCAGCAGGACCCCCGCCTGCGCTCCCAGCCTCGCCCTCGCTGCCTCTGAGGCCCAGCGCCACCGCCCTGGCTGGCAGTGCGGCTGCAGCAGGACCGCCGGGTGGCCACAGCGGCTCTTCCCGGGGCACCGGGGCCGCGGCTGGCGCAGGAGGGAAGGCCTTCCTCTTCTCAGGATAGAGGCTGTGGGGTTAGAGCTCCCACTTGCCCTACTCCCCAGGCCTCGTTCTCCCTCCAGGGGAAATGGCCAAATCCTTACCCAGGAACACGCGCCTAACGCCGCCTCTTGGACGTCCTGGGGCCTGCGTCAGGGTGTCTTAAAGTTCTAGCCTTTGTGAAGCTGCTGTCCTGGAGCCCGTGGGTCCCCCCCTCTGTCTGCTCACAGCCGCTGCCCTGGCTCGGCCTCTGCTGACAGCCTCCCTGGAGCTGTGCTTGCTTCTCCCCCAGGTCCTCCCCTTGTGGGGGTCTGTGCACATGGCCGCCGTCACCAGCCCCCGCCGAGCACTCCCCGTTGCTCTTGACTCCCCCCAGCTGTGAGCGGGCCACCCCTTGGAGAGGGGCCTGCAGCTTTACACTGGAATACGCCCGTGTCCTCGCCTGCTGGCTCCAGGGGGTTACCCAAGGGGCGGAGTTCCCGTTTCTGGGAGGGCCATGATAGGCTTCCAAGAATCCTGGACAGACAGAAGCATGTTTAGGAAGAGTGTTTCCTGATTCCTGTCTCTCCAAGACAGAATGGCAACTATTTATTGTCTTAGATCATGGATTTCTGATACCTCCCACTCAAGGGGACCAAAGGAGCCCCAGTGTAAATCCCACCGAAGGTGAGTTCAGTGTATGTTGTCTCTCCGGTCACTGAGTCCATTTGGGCGCTTGGTGCCACACCCTGGCCCAGCTTCTCCTGGCCACGCCCTGGGGCTGCTGGGAGGGGGCTGGGCTGTGAGGCGCTGCCTGAGGCAACCCTCAGTCTCCCCCTGACCCAGGCCATGGTGATGAGAAACAGCAGGCCTTTACCAGGCTTTTTGTTTATTGTTTGGGGCCCATTAAACTATTTTTTAAGATTTTTCTTTTAGTTGTATTCACTTCAGGTTATTTTTGTTTATGTCAAATGTGTATATGATGCGTATTGTTTTTAACCCTTCCTGGGTTTTTTAGAGGAAACTTTGAAGGATATATTTTTTCTTTAGCAACTTGTTATCACTGGGATGAAAAGGGGAAAGTGACCTTTTTGCATTGTTGTATTTGTATGTCACAAATAAAGACACTGTGCAGCTGCCGGGGCATGCTGTGCTGGGTGCCATGGGCTGTGGGCGGGGACACTGGGTCTCCGGCGTCCCCGTTGGGCCTGTGCTCTGGAGGCTGCAGCGGTGATGTCGCCGTCCCTTCCTGTAAGAGAAGCTTCAGCCTGAGAAACCTCGGGGTGTCTGGGTGAGCAGCCAGAGGTGGGAGCTGAGACCAAAGGCATGTGTTTCTGTCACTTCCCAGAAGCCCTGGGCAGAGGTCAAAGGTAAAGGGGCACCTGCTTTGCATCCTGGAGGAAGTCTTGTAACCTCTGGCTGAAGGTGAATCCCAGTGCAAGCGTGGGTGCTGAATGGAGGAGCAGGGTGGTATTCTTATCTCCCTTTTACTGGGTTACCCCGAATACTCTGCCTGAAAAAGATCCCAGCCCCTCTCCCCTCCACTCGGGAGGCAAGGCCCCGAGGAAGGATAACTCAGGTCAGGCCTGAGGGAGAGATGTTACCAGCTGGGGAGGCTCTGTCCTGCCCTCACGTTTGGCAGGTGGGGCCATGCGCTCCTCTCCCAGGCAGGACTCCGGCCAGTCCTGGCCAGGGTGAGCTGGGAGAGGCAGGGAGTGGGCCGGAGGTAGAGCTCAGAGGCACTTCCTGTGGGCACTGAAGGGGCTGGTCTGTCGCGCTTCCGTGGGGACCACATCTGCGGGAAGGTGAGGGGAGGCTCGGGTGGAACTCCCCAGCCACAGGGAGCATTTGCGCGTTGGAGGGTCAGTTATCTGGGGAGAGGAGCTGGGTGTGGCCTGTGGAGGCCTCAGCTGTGCGGGCGAGCACCCCAGGATGGGAGATGGTTTGTGAGGCTGTCCTATCTGCCCCCTGCCTCCTCCATTGCCCTCCAGCTGAGCCCCGGCTCCTCGGCTCCTCGGCTCCTGGCACTGCTGAAACGCACCCCCAGGAGCAGGAGCAAGAGGCGCAGTGGTTGGATGAATGGTCAGATCTGAGCTGGTTTTGGCCTTTCACCCAGGGCAGGTACCCTCCTTCCTTCGCTTCCTCCCCAAGGGCAGCAGAGGCGAGGCTGTTCCTCCTCTGCTGCATTTCCCCCTGGAGTAACCGGGACCCTGGAAGGCCTGTTCCTCCCTCCAGTGTCCCTGTGCCTGGGGCCTGGCGTGCTCTAATCTGGGTGTTAATGCTTTGTTCCTGAGACAAAGGCTTGACCCAGCCCATTCCTCCTAGAGGCTGCAGCTGGGCCTGCCTGAGCCCCTAGGCTGTGTGCTTTGAGGGGAAAGTTGCAGATTTAGAAGGATCTGTCCTGGGCTGTTTGCCAGATCCTAGGGCTGGGCAGGGGCAGGAGCCTGGGGCCGGAGGTGGGGTTGGGCTGAGACTGCGACCTTGCCCACACCCATGAGTGTGGGGGAGGGAGAGAGGGAGGTAGCTCAGGGCCTGGGAGCCATTCCTCCAGAGGAAGCTCAGGCACTGCTCATCCTTTGGGACTCTGAGTCCATGGCCGCCTTTCTGTGAGCCCCGCCTGCCTCCATGGGGCTGAGTGTGCTCCCAGTCCTGCCATCCCACCTCCACCCTGCCCTCTGCCCCCTGCCACAGCCTGTGGACACTCCTCCACGGCACCTGTGTGAAGGTGGTTAAAAGCAGACAGACCTGCCCTGGAATCCAGACAGGCAGCCCCATGGCTGCACCACCTTCAGTAGCTCATCCAGGTCTCCTTTGTCGGAAAGTTGGAGTAATATATCTCCCTTGTGATCTTGTTGTGAGGATAGAATGAGGTTGTACAGGTAAGGCCTGGCTCGGGCTGGCTCCTTACCCCTCTCCTGTTTGCCTTATGCCTCCCAGTCAGTGCCCTGCAATTCGTAATCGTCTGCGTGTGGATGTGTGCCAGGCCCTTCAGAGACAGTGGCGGCCCTTAGGTGGCCCCAGGCTAGGGACGGAGACCAGCCCTGTGGGCAGTGCCAGCAGAGGCACTGCTGGGCACAGGTGGCAGGGGCCTGGGGTGGCCAGTGGAGGCTGACGGATGAAGGGCCACCCATTACTTCCTACCACACCGGGCACTCTCACTACCACGTTTCCCCGAAAATAAGACCTAGCGCATGGAAAGATAAGACATCCCCAAAAATAAGACCTAGCGCAACTTTGGGAGAAAAATTAATATAAGACACTGTCTTATTTTCGGGGAAACAGGATAGCTTTTCACAAAGTGTGTATCACCTCTCTCCCCCGCGAATATTTGTCATCACTTGGATCCAGAACAGTTCCTGGAACACAGTGGGGACGAGTACATATTTATTGAATAAAGTATCCTTAAGCGGAGGCGGAGAGGAGGCTTTAGTGGTGAAAAAGGAAAGCGAGGTAAGGTGTGAAGTGTCCTAGGCAGATACAAAGCGGATACAAAGAAGCGAAAGGCGGGGTGGGGGGGTGGGGAGTAGGGAGGGAGGCACCACCCATGAGCAAGGAGGGAGGTGCGGGATATTTAGAGACTGGCCGGAGTGACATCCAGAAATTGGAACTCGGACCAATGAGAGTTAAGCAGGTGTATGATTTGGTTAGATTTAAGTTTAAATTAAAAAGAAGGAACGTAGGGGTGGAGGGAGGAAGGTCGGCTGC